ATTGCATGATAGATTAAGAGTGTTCACTGGGCGTGCTTTTGGAAAAGAAGCATGCAACAGCAGTATTTTGTGGTAGAGTATGCCATGGGGAAGTGCCTGGGCCGACTGAGATGGTGGCAAGCATAGTTTCTTACATCTTAACACTTTTTTGGAATGTGAAGAGTGCAGTAAAGACGACAATGCTGGGAAAAGGCAGTGTTTTTGGTCTCTGCTAGGTTAAAGATTGGGACTGTTCAAAATAGGTGATTCTGTTGCATTTCTCCAAGCTTGCTAGTCTGAACATACCAAATTTTCTTTTTGCTCAATCTGCAAAGAAGTAATTAAAAAAAAAAAGAGAGAGAGAGAATATATTTCCGAAGCTTGATTGCTGCTGAGAATGTTTAAGTCCTGTTTGGCAGCAGCCTGTCAGGTAACCAGATTCACTGTGATGAAACTGCAGAGAAATGGAAATGAGATTTAAACACATTATAATGATGAAGCTTCAGTTTTGATCTTTATGCAGCTAACGCTTCCACTACTGATCATTGTACTAGAAAAGCCCAGCTAAATTATGTCTTGGTCCTCAAAGGAGATATTCTCCTTTCTTGCTGGCGCTGGGGTGAAATGGCATCTTTCAGAGTGAGGTTAGATGAAGTGCGATTCCTTGATCTGATTTGTGGATCAGTGTTTGTAATATGTCATTTGGTAGTCCTGTGCGTGTCTCTTGTCCAGTTAAGTTTTAAAAAATGAAAAAGAACGGAAGACACCAGATTTGCTTGCTATGTATCAAGACAACCTCGCCCTCCTGCTCGCTGGGATCAGATCCAGCAAGCTCAGGGTGATGTCACCGTGGCCTGGTCTATGCCGCAGTTTTTGCCCTAGTGAAACTACTGGGTTAGAGCTGTAACTTCTTCCTCTTCTACAGAAGCTATTCAACAGTACGGTCTCTTAAGGTGAACATACGGCACTTTTTTTTTTTGGTCACTCTAATGTGGTAGGGTGACTTATTTCCTTTCTCATGCAGGAATACCTGTCCTGGTAAGCAATACTAACACGAGAGCTGTGGTCGTGCTGTGTCTGGGTTCTATCACTTGAACTGCGTCTGAGTAGCTGTGATGCAAAAAAAGCGTTGCATGGAGATGTCCCCGATAGGTTGTAGGAAGTTGTTAAAGATCAAGGAAGCGGTATTGGAGTGCAGCAGGGGACACTGATATTCAGCCAGCAACCCTGCTTAGCGTGGGTTTCTCAGGCCTCCAGCCTTGTCGGGAAAGAAGCTTCTGCATCACAGGGTCCTGCTGTGCTTTACCAGGCCCACGAGAACCTGCGCTTGGGTGTTTGTTGTCTTACTGCCCCACATCAGCAGTGTCATCCGCATAAGATGCGTGTTATAAAGGGCATTAGAAGGCGCACAGGTGGAGAAAGCTGATACAGAACTTAAGTAATTAGGTATAAGTTCTGTAATGGCTGGGTGGAAGACATTTATGTGAGTTGATTATTGACAGAATTGCTTGGGTTCTGTCTTAGCTATGCTCTTCCTGACAGGTTCGCTCTGGGAAGCTGCTTTTGACTCTTGCTTGAGCCAATGAACTGAAAAGGGCATCCAAAAACCATTTGATATGCCTTGATATTACAGAATGTAAGTAAAGCCTCGCTGTACAGTGAAGGCTGAGGTATCGCCTTGTTCCATGGTTTAGAACTGCTTATGCTTGAACATGGACTCTTATTTTATGCTTCATCACTTTAAGATAGTCCTTTACATGGACATATTCCAGAAATGTCAGAGTCTGAACAGCTTGTCCTTACATTTCTAAACATTCTTCTGATATTAAAGGGTCAATTTCCCCAGGGTGAAATCTGGAGAAGGAAGGAAGAAAGTTTTACAACTCTAAAAGGGGAAGTAGCGGGAACTTTTTGTTTGTCGTCATTTTAGGATTCAGCTGTAAGTATTCTTCATTTAAAAGCAACTCTGGAAATCCTGGGGTAGGAAATTGAAAGTCATTTTAGTAGCTTTTTTTGATAAATTTACTGAAGATCTTGATTTTTCTCTTCTTAGATGCAGAGGTTGGCTGGCCTAGGGAGACTGTTCAGGAAGCTCTGAGCCCCCCCAGTGTTGACATAGTTGGGAAAGATTAGGGAGACTGCAAACCCAGGCTTCCAGTACTAAAAAAAGAACTGAAAAATTTCCACTTTTAAATGCACGTATCACACTGGTCTCTTTAATTTCTGCCTGTGCAAAAGCCTGCTGCAGCAATGGGAGACAGCCAAGTGGCTCTCGGAGATACAGCGACGGTTCTGTTATCTTCAGCAGCTTTGCTGTCACGTGAAAAGTAAAAGCACCCCAACCTGGTGCTTCTCAGCTGAGTAGCTGGCTTGGACCGAATCCAGAGCTGGTGGCCAGGTGGCAGCTGTGCCGGCTCGGTGCAGAGGGATGATAATAGAACGGAGCTGTAAACAGGACGCTCCACCCTGCCTCAGCACCTCTCCTGTGCTCTCTCCTCGTGCCCGAAACGCTTTCCAGCTGCCTGCAGGCCTCTGCACCCCAGTGAGGGGCAGCTACCTCCAGCCAGCACCCTGGTGTCCTCCCAGCTGACCCACCTGCACCTCTGGGTGCTGCTTAGCAAGAAAGTACTGCTTAACAGCAGAGTTGTGCTTCCTAAAAGGGAAGCGAGGTTCTTGCTTTCTGAGTGTTAATGGCCTTAGATGTGTGCGTTTGTCACCCATCGCATGTATGGGTGCAGTCGTCACAGCGGGAGGCCGCGTTCCTCTGCTCTGTCGTGTCTGTCCCTGCAGGCTGCTAAAGAGCTGATGCTCACTGTGGTGTCCTGGAGAAGGTCTGGAGGATGAAGGCGACCGCCGCGTGTGCTGGCTGTAACGAGGGGCGTTTTGGAGGACTTTGTGGGGGAGAAGGAGTAGCTGCTCGTCTGGCTGCAGTGGACGTGTGCTGGCAAAACGCAGTGTGGGAGAGAGGCTATCCTGTTGTGATAGCGTTCAGTTCTCCTGCCAGCAGCCTAGTCGGGGAGACCAGCATGAGAGGAAGAGACAGCTGAAGTCATACGTAATGGAGATGCGAGTAACCTAGCCTGTGGGGGCAATGAGGCGCTGAAGAGGAAGCTGCAAATACTAATGAGTTTCTAAATTAGAGTTAGTGGTAGCTGCCTTAGACTGTTAAGCGTTGGAAGTGGGGAGCACGTCTTGAAACGCCAGCTGGACTGAACACAATAAGCCTTTAATCCCGTGTGGACCTTACAAGGTGTGGCTGTAGTGCAAGGACTAATGCTTCTCTAGCCCTCCTGCGTGGCTTTCTGTCTCCGCGCTTTCCTCAAATGGTATTCTAGCTGATAAAAAAAGATGTATTTAACAGACAGTGTCCCTGGAAACAGTCTCAGCTGTTTCTGAGCCCACAGAATGCCATGCAGCCAGCGCTAAAGAGCCTTCTTCTACGAAGGTATTTGGCAAACACAGCAGAGTCCTTAATAGCCTTTACGTTGGTTTTAGTGTGGTTTAACTTGCTACCTGCCTGCCATGCCCTGATTTCAGGGAGGAAGGAGAGAATGTCTGTACACAAAGCACCCGGAGTGGAGCTGCTCATGGCGTTACTAATATCTTGCCAGGAGGCCACAGGGCTGATTCTAATGTGCATGGCAATTTGCATGTTTAATCAAAACTAAATGCAAACTTTTGCACTGGCTTGGACTTGCCTCTTCGTTGCTACCTTTTTTGGTTTTGGCAGCAACACCTTCTTTCAGCTACAAGGGTGACAACAAAGCTACAGAAAAGAGCAGCTATGCTGTATATATATGGGCCATACGTGCAGACCATGTCTAGTTTGGAGCTTACCAGGATGTGATCTGAGCAGTAAAGCGTGTGTTGTATGTATGCCCTTGCCTTAGGCTGCCAAGAGAGACATTTGGCATCCTGTACTCTGTTATTGGCTTGCAATGGACTTGTGCTGGTGTGCATCATTACTGACATGAACTTAAACTAGCTTTATTTACAAAGGTTTTCTGTTTGTCAGAAAGCTACTGTTAGGAAAATACTGCCTGAATAGACAATGTAGTCATCTCATGGAAGTTGCACAAAACAACCGGAACTCCTGGATTTTAGTTTGGGCCCAGTCAGTGATTGGCTGTGGCAATGAGCAGATTGCGTATCTTCATTTTTGGTCTTGGAGTGAATACCCACACCTGCTAACCGCATTGAGATTCGCTCAGTCCCACTGTGGAGGAGCCAAAACTTTGTGAACGTTCTCATAGCCTCCTTCAGACTGGAAGCAAGCATTATCCCACTTCCTTGGGGGGAAACTGAGGCATGCAGCCTCCCTTTCAGTGTTGGGTCTTACCGTGGGTAAGAGGCTAGGTTCTCTGGCTGCGTACTGTGCTGCAGCTAGTAAGAGATATGGCCCTGTAGGCAGTGCTTGTAGTTCTGCAGCGCTAATGCAAAAGAATTGTGGACATGCAGAATGTTTCACTCTGTTGTGTAGTAGCTCCCTTGACTTCAGCTGGAATGTCTAATCAATGGTTTCAAGCAGCCCCTTAAGGACTGCAATAAAATCTCTTGTTCTAGAGAAGGAATCTCTTGGTGATAAGCATGAATACGGCTTTCTGCAGTGGAGTGGACTGAGTGGGAGGGTTAGGAAGGGGGTGGGGGGGGGGTGGAGGGGGGGGGGGCCTCTGTCCACCAGCTCTCACTGGCCTACTTTGCTCAAATGGCATGTTTCTGGTGCTCTTTACTTTTGACAGCTAACTACGAGCAGCAAAAGCATCTGCGCTGGACTGGCTGGGCAGTGGCCTGGCCTGGGCCAGAAGAGCTTCTGCTACTCTAAGAGTGGGAACTTGGTGGCCACATTAGGAGCAATATGACTTTGGTTCCCGAAAAGTAGTTGGACTTCTCCAGTCTGTACATCCTAGTTCTCATCTTGTGATCTTTCCAATGGCTGTAGACTGGGTAATTGCGATAGGTGTCGCTGTATCTTGGCTTTGGAAGTCTTAATTTTTTTTTTTTTCCTTTTTCCCCTTGTCTAGCCAGCGTTCCATGTGCTGCTGCTACTGAAAAGACCTGCCGGCCCAGGCAGCCCCGTGTGCGGCGCACCTCTTCGTTAGACACCATTGTGGGTTCGTACCTCTTGGGACAATGGCCACGGGATGCTGACGGGGCTTCCACTTCATGCATGAATGACAAAGCTACCCAGGTATAAATGCTCAAAGACTATGCATGAAGTTTCTGGGCCAGGAGAGGGTTGCAGAACAAAACAGACTGTGTAAATTGGAGATGAGTAGAGAAAGCGTTAAATTTTTCATCTGTCCAGCTGCAACTTTCTAGGAAGACTTCTTTTTTTTCTCTCCCCCTTTTGCTTCTCGGCTTCAGTTCATTCCACTTTGGTGCAGAGTTAGAATTTCCTTGGCCTTGTTTGGAGGCAGATGGCCTCTGGCTTTCTGCTCCAGTACTGGCTCAATGCTACTTTTTTTTCTCCTAGCTTGCAGTTCTGGGCCAAGTCCTTATATAACACTCACGGGCTCTGTGCCACACACTGAGAAGTCAAGGGTGCTCCCACAGAAGGCCTTCCTAGCACGAACAGCACAGCACTCTGCTGTAGGATGGAAAAGGTCCAGACCTCGAGGAACTCTTAGCAACCTGTAAATATTACTCTATGGCAGCAAATACCGCTTGCCTATCTGTAGAGGTGAAAGAATTTAGAAGGATAAGAGCATCCGTTTGGTTAAGCAGTCGTTTATTTAGCGCATTCAATCTCTGTTAACTTGCTGTTTGATCTTTGCTATTCAACAATTTATTACTGGGCTGTTTGCAGGAAATTCTCAATTGGATTCCAACTTCCATTGTCCTTTTCCAATGTGTTCTTGCCTGCTTTTGTTTCAGTTCTGGTGCCCAAGCGCTCTGCTGAGGGCAGAGGGCATGCTGGAAAGGAAAGGAAAGAATTTGTCTAACTTTATTTCTGTGTCAGGGAAGCACACTCTTCCTTTCTGTCTTAAGGCAATGGTGGGAACATTTAACCCCAGTGTTTTGGAGCTACAGCTTCTTAGCTTTTCTTGCACGTGGCCCTTTATGGGAAGGGGTTGGAGAAGACACCTCCTTCTTCCCAGAATGGAAGATACCGCTGTGTTAATTCTGACTCTGCTGAATATGGAGTGGATCACTCAGCCTCTGCAGTGAATAGGCCAGGTGTGCGGCAGTCTTTCATCAGTTATCTGAAGTGTCTTGCAAATGCTAATGTTACCTTGCAACATGCCTGTGAAACAAGCAATTACGTCTGCTGTTACACAGGCACAAACTGAAGGGGGGGGGGGGGGCTGTTAAATGACTTGCCTATTGTTGGAAATTGGGAATAAAGTCCTGATTTCTAGACTGCCCGGAGTATTAACAGAATGTTCCTCGTCATAACCTCCAGGACTTTGCCACTCCTTCCATGTTTTCAGGCATAATAAAGTTATCAAACTTGGGACTTTATCTGCTAGCCAGTACATGTTTACTTCCCTTCTTATTCAGCTACTGATCAGCTGTTTTGCAGAGCTCTGTAGATTTGCTATCTTAAGGTGGTTAAGTGAGAGATTCAAGTGCAGGTGCTCTGTGTGGGGGTGAGGATGGCAGCAATATACATGATTGGAGCTTGTGGCTTTAGCTTGCTGCGCAAAGCATTTTTTCTCTCTTTTTTCTGAGGAAGCGGTTTTGCCACAGTTAGTACAAAAGGTTCTGTAATTTCCTTCTGCCTTGACTGTGAGTCTGCCTGTGAGAGGTAGGATGCGTATGCGTTCTTTCAGGCCTTCCTATTGCAAAGAGTGTCTTTTCTTCCTTTTTAGGTCCTATTTCTTTGTGAGCCCTGGTATAGTGCTTAGTACTCTGGGTATCAAGGCAATGACCGAAAAGATGGTGCTGAGAGTAGAGATCTGGAGCCCATTAAGGCCCAAGGAAACCACTGCTGTGAGCCTGGTGTAGGGAGGAAAGCAGCACCAAGAGCAATTTTACTGGGCTCCATTTCCAGGTGCATGTCAGACTGGCATAAGTGACTTTTCAAACAGGGAGCTGAAGGGTGCTGTTGCTCAGGAAACTTCTGGGGACTCAAGATGAGTTCCCTCCTGCAGTTCAGGAGCACGCCTAGGAGCTGGAGCTGAGCTTTCCGCAGCTTTTCCTATTGCAGTAACGTGGGATGGGGCCAGGGTCTGTCCTGTGACTCTCAGATCTTTTGACGCTTCTCGTTGGCTTTCTTGTGTGTGTTATCTACAGGGATGTGAAGTGGCACAATGCTTTGGGATAAATGCCAAATAATGATGTTTGAGTTGTTTAGGAGAGAATATTTGAGGTGGGAAATGAGATCAGAAGTGTGGCATGCTAAAACTGCGAGGTTGGTCTTGGCCATGGGGTTTCCTATAGCGTTGGTCTGTTCTTCAGCATTACCTGGTGCTGTACCAAGAAACCGTTCTGGACCGCTTTGAGTTCAACAGGGCTTCAGCATAATGCTTCAGGCTGAACCAACTTCTTTCCTCAAACCAAGCAGGCTGAGCACTGCAAATGGAACAAATTCTGTATTGTGATGTTATCTGCTTACCAGCACTGCAAAAAGGAGCTGCAGACAACAGTTAGTGTTAGCAGTGGAGAAGACATTGCACTCTGCCCCCTCTGTGTCAAGAGGGGTTCGGTTCAGAGCCTGAAACTCAGAAGGTTGGATTTCTGCCTCAAAATCTCCTGTATCGAGTTACAAAATGGAAGCCGCGTACCTCTCAGGATGTTTTGCCTTGTTTCTTTGGATTAAGCGGGTTTTAAAACCCCTTTTGAGAGGAGAGGCTTCTGTCATCCTCATGACTCAACAGGGTTGTTTAAAACAGCTGCTGTTCTTGCAGTAGCCTCTGGGGAGATCAGCTAAGCTGCTTGGAGAGGAACTGTTCTCAGGCCCTTGCACCTTCTGGCAGCGTGTCACGAAGGAGGGAAGTATCTTCCAAAGCCTCCCACAGAAATGGCAGGCAGCAGAGTGACACAGGGTGAACGCTGAGCGGCATGGAAGCGTGATGTTGGGGGGAACAACGGCCGGCTGATCTTAGAAACCATGTGCCTTAGGGCTGTTCCGATGCTGGAGTCTCCCACTGAGTGCCAAGCTCATTGGAAGGAAGTTCACACCCTTTGCTGATCAGATTAACAGCACTTTTCTGATGGCCATTGATATTTGAAATGTAGCTGTTGCTTGGGAAACAGCTGTGTAATGTGGTGCTGAGGCTGTTTTTCTAAATGAAGAGAGTAAGCTGAGAACTGCCAGCCCTGCAGACTGACGTGAGCTGGAGAGGCAGCTGGGGTCCTCCAGCGCTCGGGCCTCCAGTCCGCAAGCCAAACGCTGGGTTTGGTTACGCCTTTGAACTCCGATATGGGAGCCTGAGGTCTCAGCAGCGAGCTGTGTGTTCTCACAGTTGGGTGAGGCTTTTCCTCTCGGTAATGCTTCTCTTCTCGCTGCGATGAGTGCCTGAAACCCTACGTCGCTTTCCATCAGACGGGAGCCGGTGCAGGCAGCGCAGGGGGGTGGTTGCGGTTGTTTCTCCAGAGTAATGCATTGGTGTACTTTATCTTGCCAGGTACTTGTGATTAAGCCGCTGACTTCTGAGTAGGTCTCTTGCCATGTATGTCTGTGAGGTCCGTATGAGGTGCAGTTTCCAAGAGGCACAAATCTGGTCAAAATGACTTGGATTTGGCAAATATTAAAGTTAGATTCTCTTAGAGTATTTTACTGAGCATTGATTAATGGGGGAAGGCTGGACTAGGACAATGAATGGGCAGTCGTTGGTCACTTGTATTCTTTGGACTCTACCACCGGTCTCAAAAACAGTAAATGTTGTGATTGTTCTCAGCCATGTTTCTCGTCACTTCAGACTCCAGTGTCCTGGTATGAAACAGAAGTGGGGAAAGCCAGCTCCAGTACTCACAAGCGTTCTGCTTCTTGGGGTAGCACAGATCACCGCAGAGAGGTAAAAGAGACCACTCCCAATGCTTAAGCAAGATTGTCTTTGCAGCTAATCTGTAGGAGGTCCCTGCTTGCATGGGAGGGGAGCGGGAGGACAGGGATGAGAGGTTACTTTAGGAGATGCGACGTTAGCCCTTATTTTGATCCCTACCGCTCTGACTGAACTGGAAGCTGATCTTGTTGGCTTCCTTTAGCAGCAGCCATTGTAAAGAAGCTCCACTGAGGCTCTGTGCGTTGCTTGTATGTGTTGCAGCGTATGCGGGTTCTGGCAGGGCTTGGTTCATAACTTTCTGTAGGTGGAAGATAACCCAGAGGAGACCTGGAAGATCTACCAGAGGAGAGGCTTGGGCCACATTTTAATGGGGGAGTTTGTGACTAGGCCTTGAGAGTACTTCTGGTCTGTCCTTTGAGAGGTTGCCAGAGCTGCTTATTGTGTGGATAAACTGTGTCTATTTTGGCACTTCCTTGTGGGCTGGAAGAAAGGGGGAGGAGAGAGAAGAGATGATCCTTTTTTGGTGGAGGAGCATTGGCTTGTCTGGTTCTGTAGCTGAAACTTTGTTTGCTAGATTGCCAAACTGAAGCAGCAGCTCCAGCGAACAAAGCTAAATGGCAGAAGTGGCAAAGAAAAGGAGAAGAGCTCCCCACTCCAGGGGGACCATGCTGTCCTTGGATCGCTCAGGGTATGTTCAAGTCTCCCTTTGCTCTGCTGTCACTGTGTGCCCTAATGAGGTGGAGAGCAAACTCCTGTTTCTGCTGGCAGGTGCCCAAGCTGTTCTCTGACTTCTGCTCTCATATCTGAGAGAGGAGAATTTTTTTCTCTTCTTCCCCCACGTATATACCCCTTCTTATCTCCAATATGTCCCTGTGAGTGCTTTGATTTGCAGCTAGTTTATCATGTCCTTTCTGTCAGTCTTCTCTAGTCAGCCTGCTGGAAGGCTTTGGCTGAGCTCTGGAGAGCTGTGGGAAGTGAGGAAGCAACTGCTCTGAGCAGCAGCTGAGTCTGTGCAGGTGTAACTAACTCCTCTTTGTCTGACTCTGGATTGTTACAGGACTCTTCTTCGGGATTCTTTTCTCCATCTCCCGTTTTGAGGCTCAGCCCCTGCTTACACAGGAGCCTTGAGGGGCTAAACCAAGAACTAGAGGAAGTGTTTGTGAAAGAACAGGGAGATGAAGAGCTTTTGAGGGTGAGTGAAGGCCACTAGAAGACTTCCCTAATCTCCTGGGTGGTCTCGGAAATCCTTTCTTCTAAGAACATTGCCCATATCTGTTCCTTGGCCGCAGGGGACAGTCTTCATGTCTAGTTTCATTTTGTGCTAGGCATATAACTTTTGGAATTGGGCCAAAAGGCTGCTGGCTCCCCTCCTGAAAACTTGCTCATGCTACGGGAAATCAGCCAGTGGTAATACCAGGACAGATGACACCTCATTGACAGCTTTAAGGCACTATGTTAGAATGGCATCCAAAGGCTACTTTGTACTGTGCAGCTGTGGGAGAGATCCCAGGCAGCTTGTGAACTGAAGTTTATTGCGGTATACAGAGGGCACCTGGCTGCCTTTGCTGTCGCATCGTGAGCCCTCCATGTGTGAGCATCCAGCTGGCAAGGAAAAAGAGTCTCTGTAGGAGCCTGGAGAAATAAGTCCAGTCAAGCACCCTTCATATTTTCTGGGTCAGAGGGGTAGGATTCCTTTGGCCAGTGAAGGTGCAGGTGCTGTTAAGCTTTTCCACTGGTGTGAAAGGACTTTCTTGATCCGCTAAAGGCTTTGCTTCCTCCTTAGATCCTGGATGTCCCAGACGGCCACAGGGCGCCAGCACCGGCTCAGAGAGGCTCCGGAGATGCGTCCCTGGCCCCGGAGCCCAGCAGTAGCAGCTGCAGCAGTCTCTCTCTTTCTCCTTCCCCTTCTGTGCCCCTCCGCCTTTCTCCACACACCCCAGTGAGGCTGGCGGCAGAAGAGCTCTCCTCTGCTGCGGATGAGCTGCAGCCAGAACCAAAGGAGAAAGGTAAATGCTGTGAAAAGCAAAGAGGCTGGGAGCTCAGGGGAGACAAATGGTGCCAGTAGCGTGGCAACCTCAGTGCAAGGTCTCCTGTCTCATCCCTGTTTGCACGTTGGGTTGGAAGCGGCAGTTAAAATAGGGGAGGAAAGGGCCTCAGCCAATTTAGCTAAACCATAGTGGACTCTTCAGGTTCGAGTAACTAGCCTCTACTAGTTACTAGATGGGGGATACGAGCTGGGAACTAAACAGATCTGATGTGGCTTTGGGATATTGTTGTAGCCTGCAGCACTGGGGTCTAGAAAAGCGTGTCTGGTGTTGATTTAAAGAGCTCTGGTTTCTTTTAAAATCTTCTCAAAAAACAAAAAAAAAACCATCTTTTCCTCCTAGAGGATGGCAGCCCTTCTCCCGTCCTGGCCTTTGCTTCTTCTCCTCGGCCCAACCACAGTTACATGTTTAAACGGGAACCTCCTGAGGGATGTGAGAAAGTCCGGGCCTTTGAAGAAGCTTTGTGAGTATGAGGCGTCATTGGCAGAAGAGAGCTCGTGTGAGATCGGTGCTACAGCAGGATGCTGGGGTGGGTGGGGGCAGCTGAGGCTCCAGCTGCTGTTGCCACCCTCTATTCTAGAAAGTGGGGAGCTGCCTCTAAAGAAAACGCTCTCCCAGCAGAAATGTGGCTGCTCCTGGTGCAAGAGCTGAAAATCCAAAGCACTGCCCCCTCAGATGTGCTCAGAAGGGTCTTTTTTTGGTTCCTTGCCCTTCCCAGGGAGCAGTTTTTTCTCAGGCATCACAGCACCTTGAGGAAAGAAAAAAGAGCTGGTTCTCCTATGAATAAGTGTGCTTTTGAAACAAAGCAGGCTCTTCACACTGCGCTGCGGAGCCTGTTCTGTGCCTGAAGAAAGGGCCGGCTCACAGTAAAGGCGATGCAGCTTTTAGTCAGGCTCTTCGAAGAGCCCGACGAACTCTAGGTGTTTGGCCTGCAGCTGCAGGCCTGACAGCTCTGTGCCCTTGGGAGTGTCTGTTCCTAATCCCCTCCGCTCTTCTCTCTCCTTCAGATCCCCCAGCCCCGATCAGCCTTTTCAGCCTTCCTGCCCAGACAAGAACAAAGTGCACTTCAACCCCACCGGTTCTGCCTTCTGCCCGGTCAGCTTGGTGAAGCCTCTCTTCCCGAATGTGGGCTTCCTCTTCAGGGGATTTTCTGCTTCTTCCAGCCCTGGCACGGACTCATTTACATCCTGTCAGTCCTCGGCCCCCACCCCGTTCCTTGGGATGCGGAAGGACCCCGCAGTAGATGGCTTTAGCGAGGTGTCTAAATCGCCGTCGCTGAACTACGAACACTGGAAGCGTGGCCAAACGGAGGAGAGCGTCGTCTTCCACAGCTCTCTTGTGATATGAAGCCTTGGGGAAGGCTGGCCAGCCTCAGCATCTTGGGCTCCTCAGTGCATCTTAACCAGCCTGCGGAGAAGAGTGCCTTGGAGTTGGGACATGACAGCTAAGAGGCAGCCCTGGGGTCGAGAACCGCAGCAGCCTTCCTCCGAGGGTGACGAAAACTGAAGTGCCGTGTGCCACAGGACTCCTCACTGCTGGAGAGGCTTGTTTCTCTGAGCCTCCCCTGTTCAAAGCACTTTCCTGTGTTGAAATGTCTTTGTTTCCTGTGCGATTGTTTTGCTGGTAAAGAGCAGCAGGGCACTGCTGCCATGAGCAGAGGCAAACTCGGGCTCCCTGGCTCTGAAGGAGGTTGAGCTAAGAGAATTCAGGTGGAGTTTCCCAGCACTTCCCCTGCCATGGCTGTCTGGGTCTTGCTGAACCCTTGGGAGTGGGAAGGGAGGAGAAGGGACATGTAGGAAGGCTGCTCCTGAAGAAGGCAGAGCCTGGCCAAGGTGCCTCCAGAAAACACGTGTTGGAGCAGAACTTGATGTGCATCTGCGCTATTAAGATCTTGCTGCAGAGCACTGAGATAGATGGTGGGAGGGAGGCCATGGATCGCTGACGGTGCCTCCTGGGGGCACCTTATGCCTCGAAGCAAGCCTGGAGCTCTGAGGAGCCTTGAGAAAGCCCTGCCACATGTGGGAAAATGGAGATGACTAAACACTGGCCTGTGCATCCCCAGGGGCTGGAAAGCTGCTCGTGTGCCTGGGGCAAAGCAGGCATTTGCTGCTCTGCAGTGGCTTTCCTGCAGGTGGGCAAGGGTCTTCTCAGTGCCTCGGCCTCCCTGAGGGGAAGAGGGGTGGAAATTAAACTGGCAGTAACAGAGGTCTCGCTCGAGGGAGGCTGCTGCTATAGAGAAACTATGTGCTGCTTCCCAGCCACGGGGCCAGGCAGCCGGGCTGGGGGTCGGGGTGGGACTGCCCTGCTGCACCCAGGGGTGAGCGCTGGGCCTGGAGCGGTGATGGCTGGGACCGCACCTGGGCAGGAGCCCCTGAACCACGCCGAATCCAGCAGCGCTGTCCCGAAACGATGCCTTAGAGGGCAAAGCGATAACACAGGAACATGGATTGTTATGCCTCTCGACAACAAAAGTATTTGATTTGTGTTCTGTTGTAAAGGCTCGGCGTTGCACTGAAGGAGCCTGTTTTCTTGTATCTGATGTAGAAACTCTATTTTCTTCCAAAGACACTATTTTTGCAGCTGTTTGAAGTTTGTATTTTATGTATGTGTTGCAAAGCTTAAAGGAGGAACGTTAGTTTTGGCGTTCCAGTCTTGTGTTTAGAGGAGGGTGTTTTTTGCCAGTTAAAAGGAAAAAAAAAAGAATAAATATTTCAGGCATCAGGCGTACCTCTTTTCTTTGGGGTTTAATGGGAGCGGGAGGCGGGGGAGAGTTGACAG